CCCTTGTCTTAGGAATCTCTCTCTTGAGAAACCAAGATTTGCCACAGATAAAGGTCTAGCTTCAGTCACCTTACCCCTTGCCCCCTAGCCTGCTGCAGGGGGTTTGATAGTTCTACGATACTCTGACATTCAGCTCCCAGCTCCAGAAGTAGTCAGTCACTTTATCGGGCCCCAAACTCCTGAACTGATGGTCTATGCTTTTCTTTTCTTCTTTCATTTTTTTTTTCAGTGTCTCTGTGTGTAGGCCAGGCTGGTCTCAAAGTTGCAAGGAGTCCCGCTTCATGCAGCTTATCCATGCTAGGGAATGTGCCACTATACCCAGCTTAGCACTTAATATTTTTTTGTAAATCAACTTTTATGTGTATGGATGCTTTGCCTGTATGTCTGTCTATGTATCATGTGTGTGCCTAGTGCTCGTGGAGGCAAAAATAGTGTTGCATCTCGTGAAAGTGGAGTTACAGATGGTTGTGAACCACCATGTAGATAAGAGAATCAAACCTGGGTCCTCTGGAAGAGCAGACAGTGCTCTTATCTGCTGAGTCAACTCTTCAGCCCCTATTTTTTTGGTTGTTGTAGCTTATCATCGATGGATAATTACTGCACATATAGAGATCAGCAAGCCTGACCCCTGTGTCTGCAGGGGACTTATACCCTTGGTGACATCTGACAGTAGGGATGAACAACAGAAAGTATGTGATCATCCAATCTCATGGTGTTACTGACAGCAGGTGGCAGGTGGGGTGGGTGGGTAAGCTCGAAGTTCCAGAGCTTAACTTGGATCCTGGGGTAAATTCTATGAAGTCGCTGAGAAAGCCCCAGTTTTTTTTTAATTATCATATTCTTAAACCTAAGACTTCAAAAGAAAGTTGACACCTGAGTGTGCATCATATCACCTGAAGGACTCCAGTACCAGGGGTTCTCATTTGGTAGGTCTGAAGTGCGGCCCAAGAATTTATATTGCCATCGGGAAGAGGTAGCCCACACCTTTAAATCCAGCACTCGGGAGGCAGAGGCAGGTGGATCTCTGTGCATTCAAGGCCAGCCTGGTCTACAGAGCTGGTTTCAGGACAGCCAGAGCTACACAGAGCCCCCCAGCCCCCGACAAAAAATTTATATTGCCAACAGTTTCTGAGAGGACACTAATACTCTTGATCTAGGCCTGCAATTTAAGAATCCCTGATTTAAAGGATACAAAATCATAGGGGTCCTAAGTTTAAATTATGATCTTCCTTTTTAGACAAGATTCTAACAGACACCAGAGCCCTCTAAACCAACCCTAAGTCCCAAGGAATTTGAGATTTTATTTTTGGAAGAAGCCTCTGGAGAGAAAGATGCTGGACCTCCCATTGGAGGTCAGGAAACATCTGGGAAATAGCATTTTAGAGGGTGCAGGGAAAAGCCTTATGAAATTTACAAAGTCAAGCAAAACTCTTGAATGGGAGATGATGAGGTTGGCTTTGACTGATCTGGTTACTAGGCCAACTGCTAGTGAACAAGAGATTCTGGGAATGTGGGCAGAGCAGAGCCGCTCTGGAGACTGACTACTGATGGGCTTCTATGTGAATCCACAAGGGCCCAGACTGGAGCTCTGCTCTAAGGAAGAGTAAGTGTCCATCAGGGCGTGGGGGTGGTTAGTAGCTGGGAAAATGGAGAAGGAACACAATGCAACAAGACAATTCAAGAGCCTAAATCACAGAACCAGTGACTGAGATCATTGTGGTGAAAGGAGAAACAGTGCTTCAGGCTGTGCTCACTTGAAGCAAACACAGCAGAAAGGCCTGGGAAGGCTGTCTGCCTGCTTCCTCCAGACCTGCTCCAAGTTAAATCTTTCCCCATGAAAGGGAGGGGGAATTCATTCATGAATCAAGCTGAGTCCAGAGCAGGAAATGTGCAGAGGAACCTCTTTTGGGAAGAGCATACTAGCTTTACTACCTAGCTAAATAGGGGAGGTGAGGTGAGGCAATGTCAAAGTCAGAGAGACCTACATATTAGTGGGATGTGCAGACAAAACCACCATGGGAAGGCACTATAGCAGGTCGAGTGCTGAGACCACAGATGTGCTCTGACATCAACCTACTGGGGCTTGGAACTCTTACAGTAGAACACTGGGCAGGCTAATCATCCCCTGGCACGGTGAGTATCCTCACCTGTAAAATGGGGGTAGGTAGTAAGAGTGCTTTCACCTTAAAGGGACTGAAGAAAGAATGAAATTAAAAAACTAGGTTATTTAGTACCTAACTTTAAACATTCAGTACTTAAAATATAAAAGATAATGGGGCTCAGAAAAATTTAGGATGGTGATTATACAGATACACTATCAGAGCTATTGCTAGAGACAAAAAAGGACAGCTAGGCTGGAGCTGCTCCCAATCTCAGGCAGCCTAAGAGAATAGCTTTATTTAACAGGACAACTCTGCTGGCTGCAACAGATGGATATCCTGCTTGTACACCTGAACATTCAGTCTCTTTTGTGACATTTTTCATTGATAATCTAAGTAAAAACAGGTGGATGTGAACAAATCAAAGGGAGTTAAAACTAGCATTGGTAGGAAAACTGTACTAATGCTATTGGGAACACTCGGATATTTGTAACATTAGGGGGGAATCCCAATTTTGGGGAAATATAAAGCTCCCAAAGTCATCAACGTGTGGAAGAGGTGCTGAAGTGACAGTTGTGGAGGTGTGTGGACCCCAGCAGCACTGGCAGTCAGTCAGACGCTACAGAGGGATTTCTTCCCTTTGATCCCAAATGAGCAGCAACTCCTCTAAACCCTAGTCTCCTAGATCAAAATGTTCTGTCAAATCCCAGTACCCAAAGGTAGGGAGGGAGGGGTGTGTGTGTGTGTGTGTGTGTGTGTGTGTGTGTGTGTGTGTGTGTGTGTGTGTGTGTGTGTGTGGCAGGGGTGGAGTGGAAGCATTCTCTCTCCTTAGAAAGCAGTTGTTACTGGAACTAAGAACAAAGATTGCTAAAAAAGAAAAAAAATGTGCAAAAGAGCCAAAGTAAGTTATATGCCACATGGTTAAATAAAAATTCACAGCCACTAGAAGGAAGTATTATGATTGGCTTTGCTTTCTGATACTTCAGGCAATCTTTTATTAAATCATAAATAATGTATCACCACAGGGTTCTTTTCTCAACAAGTCTCCAAGCCATGCAGGCCTTGACTTGCATTTCATACCCATCTCAAGTCTAGGAGATCAACCCTATGGGACTGCTGTAGGACCTTACCTCAGGCTCCTGCTCTTCCTGACTTCTTGCTTCTCATTCCACATATTTGCAGGGAGCAGGTTCTGCCTACAGTCTTCACTGGAATGTCATGCTCCTCTTAGAAAAAGATCCCCAATCTTGAGGAGGGGCATCTATTCTTCAGCAAGCACCCACTTTTTTTGTGTGTCCCCTAAAGCTATTGGCACTATAGAACCAGAGGAAACTAGTTTTTAGCCAGGTCTGGCTAAAAATTAGGACTCTAATCCTAATTACCCAAGAGACCCAGGCAGAAGGATCACAAGTTGAAGGTCTGTCTGTGCTACGGAGTGAGTTCAAGGTTAGTCTGCACAGTTTAGTGAGACTTACCTCAAAAAGTATTTTTTGAAGGGCCGAGATAGCTTAGCGGTGAATGCTTGTCTGCCTTATGAAAAGTCCCAGGTTTGGTCCCCAGTACTACGGAAACTCAGACATACACATGTCTCCTTGGCACCCCACCTATCTTTCCCCCAAAATAATATCCTAACTTTTAGATTTTGATAAAGTTTCATTATTTTTATCAGAGTTGTGGTTGTCACTTGGGGAGCTTACTTCAACTCTTATTCTCCACCTTTTGTTAAGGAAAGAGTAAAACAGAAAATTTCCTTGGAACTCACCCAGAGAAGCCTGGAGCTGTGAACTGGAATATTCTATGGTCATGCATAAGTTCTTAAAACAAAGTCCATCACTGAGAGAATTTCACACAGTGTAACTTCTACCAGGAACAACTTGGAGAATGAAAGTACGTGAGAATATTAAAATAAAAAGCAAACACACATACAAACACAAACACACACACACAACTTCAAACTCTACTTTCTAAAGCTGAGGAGATATACTCATAAGGCTCCTGAGACCTTTGCTTGTTTTTTTGTTTGTTTTTTAATTACTCAGAAGTCAAAACTGAAGTGGTTCTCCTTGGTTAGATAACCTAATCTTCTAGAACAATGGTTCTCAACCTGTGGGTCATGAGCCCCCTGGGATTCCATATCAGATATTTACATTATGATTCATAACAGTAGCAAAATTACAGTTCTGAAGTAGCAACAAGTAATTTATGGTTGGGGTCATGACAACTTGATGAACTGTATTAAAGAGCCACAGCATTAGGAACTGAGAACCACTGCTCTAGAATGTTCCAATGAAAGTGTCCTGAAGATTCACTCCTATACTGGTTCTATGGCTTCATTTCTCTCTGCTATTCTATTCCATAGTTTGAAGAAGGCCTTACTTCAAGGCATAACTCTTCATCTTTTGTCACAGACTCTTGTAACCCGTACACTTCTCCAAACCAACTTCAAATGTATGATGACAGAAACAAACAAACAAACAAACAAAAAAATTGTTTTCACAAGAAATGAGCAGGGTTCATGGGCAAATTCTCCCTTCTTTTCAGTGCAGCAGCTTGGTTAACTATCACACTGCCAGACATTTATTAAGAGTTGACCCAAGAAGCCACAGAGGAAGTCTACCCAAAACAAACAAACAAACAAACAAAACGTATAAAGAATTTAAATTTGTTTTAAAATAAAATAGAAAATGGGGTTTTCTCATATGATAAAACACATTTAATGCCTGCAGCAATTAATGATGAGTAGCAGGCAAATGTCTATCTACTACGAGGTCCTGGAGATGTCTCCATTGACTAAAAACCAAACAAAAACAAAACAAACAGGCCACCCAGACCCCCCCCCACAAAAGCATTGAAACAAAAGACTGATGATCTGTTTATGTAGTCACATGAAAAATAAACATCTTTATTTTTTGCCTACTTTATTTCATTTTTTCAAATAAAATTTAAATCTGTACAAAGTATACTGTTACAGTATATATTTTGTAAGAATCAATGCCTAAAAGAATCACAATACTTCAATAAGCAGTACAGCAGACCTCGCTAGCTTCAGCTTTGATATTGAACAAACTCAAGCCGGCTGATGCACAACACGGTTGCTTGGTTTCCACATGGTGAGTTCCCAGCACTGAGATGGGAGAACATGACAGCAAATATGGTTATATTACAGCCCAACACACTGCGCTTCTTCATATGATAATAACTGCACATATTTAACACAGAATGCTCAAATTTACTTTTAAAATTGCATTTGCTTACTTTTTAGTTGGCAAAAGTCAGCATTCTTAAATGGGGTCCCCAAACAGTGCAAATTAATGATATTCTATTGTATATTGGCACAATTCCAATAAGGATTAACTTGTAAACTCAAAGGATATCAAGAACTTAGCCCTAGATTTTAACTAATATACACCTGGTCCATTTAACCAAAGTCATTTTGGAAAGATAGTAAAGAACAACTATTTCTGAAAGGACATTGTTTTGACCATTCTTTTGAGAAGGTAATTTTTTAAATTGTCATTAAAATTTTTACTATAAAAATTTTACAAACTTGATTAGAAATTTCAAGATGATTCACAGCAGACAAATACAAACTGTTTATATTCCAACAACAACAAGGCTTAGACTTTCAAGCAGAGCACAACCGTGTCAGCTGTGTTAACTGAAACTGGACAGTGTACTAAGTTTATAAGTGGTGCTGGGTCTAGCAAGTGTAAATACACAGTATATTTCAATGAAAAGAATTGTCTTCTTTATACTTTATTTGTTTTCCCATAAGGAAACATTAATGTTTACATTCTTTAATAAAGTTAATCTTACATCAGAATATAACTTAATACTGTCAGCAACAGGGACCACACACAGTAAATAAGAAGCACATTTAAAATAAGTCTGATTTCACATAGATTAACATTTGTTGGTTAATAAAATATTGACAGTATTACAATCTTACAATATTTACAGTAAGAAAAATCTAGAGTAATATATACCTTTCACAGCAGGATTCCTTTTTCAGTTTTTCCAGTTTGGGATTGTGTGTACACAAAAAGCTCAAAATAAAGCAACTCTGCATGTAATCTTAAAGTAACGGCTACAGGGGGACTCTATCACGGCCATTGAAAATAATGGTGACTTCTCACGGAGTCTGTGGCATCTGAGAACCCAGTTAATTTACCAAAGTCTTGCTCAAACCAGCCTTAGTTACCCAGATTACACCAGCTAGTTACCCAGATTAAACCAGCCTTAGTTACCCAGATTAAAGCAGCAGAGCTCCGGCCTTCCCCAACTGCTGAAAACCCAACAGACTTTCTCATCATGCTATAAGAAAAGAGGAGAAATTGGTTTCAGCTCATACCTTATGGTTGGAAGCTTCCAACCGGCACATATTTTCTAACATATGCTAAAAGAAGGCTGTGGTTTCATCTCCAAGCATCACAAGAGTCTACCCTCCAAGTACAGTGCATTCTGATGATGCCAAGCTCACTTCTTCAACTCTTGTGCATTAAGGCATGAACTTGGCCCATATAATACCAGTATCTTGGAGACTTGGGATCGGGGCAAAAGAACAGACTTGTGTAGTTTGCACTGAGAGCAATAGGAAAAATGGGAAGTGATGCACATTTCCAATTAGAATGACAAGAAGACCCACATCCCTAAACTGGAATCTGGCCAGGTATCAGAGTTAGCACCCTCCTCTCTGAGTACCATGAGCAATTAGGATGTGTGCTCTGGGCCTCCTCTTGGAGAGCATCTACAGTAAGTAACGCAGTGTGGGACACTATTTCAGTGATGACTCCCAAGGAAGCAGATATAGTTCTTGAATCTGGGGCTGTCTACAGCACCTGAGGTCAATCCTCAGAGCTGTGACCTGTCCCAACTCTGCTTACTTCACGATATCTGATGGGCACAGAGCACTCAGGGATACGGCTGCTGGCTCCTTTGGACTCTAGATCTTACAGGTAATCAACAGGTATCTGGCATTGAATTAGCAAACTGTACCATGGCTCCTTAAACAGACACTGTCAGGTTTGAAATCATGTCAAGCATGAATCTTCACTGTCAGGTCAGAATTCAAAGTAGGAGTATTCCCACGTCAGCCAAGGTTATTTGTCAAAACCTTACAGGAGTTGGACAGTTTTTCAGTTTGCAAGTGATTGGTTACTTATTTCAGTCATGCTGGATTTGCAAACCAGACTGAACTATTTAGTTTTGTGTTTTGATTCTTACATTGTGCTAACCCAAAGCTGCTGCATTTGGGCTAAAAACACTGACAGAGAAAATTCAAACAAAAGTTTCAGCAAACTTCTGCGGCATTTTCTTTTTGGAAGTCAATGCAAGATTGAAAGGTATTTCTACCCAACAAAGTCTGTTTAAGTGTTTAATGTTACTTCCTTTTGGTCCTATACAGAATGCTATGACTTCTATATAGGTCTGAATGCTGCCCCGTGTAGATTCCTTCTGTATATCTAAAAATATATACTTTTCAGTAGTTCAATACATGGTTAATCTTCCCACAGAGGAAGATTTTTGTAATCACATGTTGCAAAGTAGAAAAACATCTCCTTTCTAGGAAAGGAAATACACTTTTCTATTGTACACTTTTGAATAAGCCCAAAGGCATGCACCAAAAATCATTATTAAACTAATACATGCACTAAAATGGCGTGGAGTTAGACTTAAAGTGCTGCTTCTTGATTTTTAAATTTGAAGACATTTGTCAGTTGTTGAGTCAAAGTCCTCCCCCACCCCCACTCCATGGTATCAAGAGAGAAAAGTAAAAAGTATGCATAAATCTTTTAGACTATCCTTTACATGGGGGAAAATGGATATATCAACTATCCTATATGTAAACTGGACTCCCAGTTTTAAATAAAGTCAGTATTTACTGGTAAAAATTGTCGAAGCTAATACACCCAAACAAATGTTACTAGTAAATAATGTTCTACATAGAGAATAATTTACTTTGGTTTTATGCACCTTCTCAAAAATAATACTAGTGTCCCATACTTCACCAAACTGATGTGTTCCAGCAAAGTTGTAAGGCAACTTATTTTTCCCTAGTGCCATCTTTTTTTTCCCAACAGACAAAACTAAAAACTTTTGGTAGGAAGGGGTTAAGATAATGGCTAACCCCTTGGCATCCTGAGCATTGTGGTTTATCAAACTCTACCCTGCTAAAGTTGTCAGGCACTGGGACCCCAACTTTGAACCAGGAATGGTTCCCATATCTGGAGATGACCTGACTCCTTATAAATAGCTCTCAGAACTTTACTTCTCATTCCCTTCTATCTGGATGTTTCAAAGTCTAACAAAGCTAGTTTCAATAGCACAATTCGTTAGTAGGGGCCACCATATGATAAATATTCCAATCTGAAATGTTTTAAGCCAATAGTTCCTAATTTTATTAATTAATTTACATTATAATTTTCTATACAGTTTCTCAGCAAAAATTCCTTACTTGGGATTCAGAAGATAAGTGATGACCCTGAGGTTTCAGCAAAATTATCTGTATTATGTGCGTTCTTTTTTTCTGGGGAGAGGGTCTATCACTTTCATCAGATTTTCAAAGGTATCTGTGACCCCCCCAAAAGCATTACAGGAACTTAAGAGGGATACCCGTAATTCACTGTGTAATAGGATTAGGAAATGAAGGCAGACAATAAAAATGGCCTGGGGTTGCTGATCTTTCCCTTTACTCATATTTGGGAAATAAGTGCTTTAAAGTAGGAAAGGAATTCAGCTAATGGTTAAACTCCACTAAAAAAATAAAGCCACTTGCTACAATTTTCTCACTTCCATATGCAATAAATTTAGTCTCCAAGAAAAGGTATAAAGACCAAATCTTTTCTTTTCCCAAGGAAATTCACAGATATAATGCTGAATGTCACCCACGTTTAAAGAGCTAAGGCCATCAAATGTAGGTAATTCTACATGAGCCTTTAACTTGAGGTTTTGCATACAGAATTATCTAGTCAAATCCATATTCATTAACTTTCATTTCCAAAATTGGTCTACATTTAGACAACTACCTGGCACAATTTCTGTACATAACCCTAAAATCTGGACTATGGTTAAACTTTCTACTTAAGTTAAAAATAAAGCTACAGGCTCCACAACAGAATCTAGCCACATACGTCCACACTATGTTGTAGGCAACATTCTCATTTCAAATATATCACTGAATTTTCAACAGAGTTTGCAAATACTATGAACCACAATGACCAGCAGAACATGGGAAGAACATGTCATGACCAACACCCCCATCTAGAACACATTCAGAATAACCAACCAGATCTGAAAAGAGGCCTCTTACTTGCTGGGTTAAGTGTGAGGTGTGTAAAAAGCTACAGAGAAATAGAAAATGATATCATTAAGTAACTTACAAAAACAATTCCAGCCAAAAATACATCTTTCTGTTCCATTGAAAAAATTCCATTTTTTTTTTTGCAGTTCTGAATATAGCATCACACATTCACAGGTACCCTCTTTGTTCTCTGTGCAGAGCACATCAAGAAGCTAATGCTGTCTCTGGTTAAATCAAAGTCTCGTATCCTTTGCTATTCCCATCCCTCAAAACGTGAGTCAATCTGAAATTCTCAAAAGGAACAGCCATTTCATGTAATATCAGTTATGTGACACAAACCACGAAGAAACTATTTGACTTCATAGAAAGATACACAAAAGAGGGAACTAACTGCCATCTACTTTACTTGCAGTTTCTTAAGCATGTGCCCAGTAAGACTCAGATATCACTCACTAAATGAAAACATACCAATCACTCCAAAGCCAGGCCATACCAGGCCAGAAGTTGGATCTCAAAGACACAATTTCATATACATAGACATAGACATATTTCCTATCCTAAGCTTTTACTTTACTTAACCAGTTTAATAAAACTCACATTTATTAAGAATTTTATTGGCAAATAAAGATCCATATTAAAAATTTTATCAAAACAAATTTTACTGTTACATAGCTAACATTAATAAATATTTTCTTGGCCTTATAAAGCATATGTAATTGCATATGAGTTTAACTTTGGGTGGGATATTGAAAACAATTTTTGCAAGAAATTAGAAAAGACTAGAAACAAAAGTGAAAGTGACTAGGCTCTAATTTCCAAAAAATCAAGTGCAAAGATAAATAGTGCAATAATGAAAACTATAAATTTATAGGCCACTTTACAGTCTTTTCTGCTTTTGCACTTTTCTACATTATTATCAAACCCTAAAAACTGTATGCAGCATAGAAATGGGCTATCATTTATCTCCATTGCCTAGACTCAAGGAAGCCTTTCAGACTTGTCTCAGTCATTTAAAGCACTGATTCTTCACTTCTTTTAAACAATTCCTAAGGGAGGAGCAATTTAAGAAGGCTCTGCACAGACTTAAACTATAGTATGTTAACTATAATTTAAAATCTGACACACAATAAAATGTGAATATTATACTAAGTGCCAACTCTGCAAAATAAGCAATATAAAAATAATCCCACTATTGTTAATGAACTTGACACTTGAGAAAAGAAAAAAAAACATCTTTCAAGTACAGACCAAAACTTCCTTTAGGCTATTTTAAAAACAAATTCTCGCAGGAATGTATAGGGATCTGATTAAAATGAAACTAGAAAGTAAAGTGTCAAAATTACTGGGAATAAACCCATAGAAAATATCATCAATCTGAATCTGAACTATGTAACTTTAAAAACAAATATTTACCTTAAATAATTTAAAACAGTCCTGGGAGTACAAAACAGATAACTAATCACTGTCAACTCACCTTACAAAGAATACAAGAACCTGGGAGGTATATTAAATTATAATTAACACCTATCTACACTAACTTTAGGGAATTCTTCCAGGAAAACAAACGGAAACAAGAGTTCAGGGGATATGTTGTCTAATTCTGGAAAAACATTACCAAGGGCTTCTTAAGATCCACAATGTTAGATGCCTGCTAGGACTACAAATGTATAGGAAATAGAAATGATACTTAAAATACCAATCCAGTGATTGTATCTGAAAAAATACTGTCTTTTACTGTCATCTAAAAAAAATGTATGTGGACCAAAGGCTAAAGTGTCTGTAAAAGAAGGTCTTTTGGGTGTGGATCTTGTGAACTAGAATAATAATCTTGAAATGCAAACATAAGCTACACTGTGACAAGAGCCCAAGATAATAGTGTATGATGTCATTGACAGTTTAAAAATGGCAAATGAAAAAGGTTGAACTGCTTTTTGTTTTTTTAATGGTAAGTTCCTAACACAAATCTGTCTTGACCAGAAAAGCTGCCATTTCACAATTGTGCTACTTCAAATTGTTCAGAGGAGATATACTATAAACCTTCAAACCATCACACATAGGCATCAAAACAGATTTGTATAAATCATCATCACCACAACTAGCTACAGTTTTCTCTTAGCTGACAAGGGACACACTGACACCTCCTTAGTGAAGCTCAATCTTATTTTCTTAGTCAATAACTACCATGCAGAATTCACCTTAGTACTTCTTCCAATAAAATAAAAATCCCTCCTACTTTACTTGCAACCATTCTCTTTGTCTCTCACATCTCCATTCACAAACAGCTTTACCCTTTCTGTTCTCCAATTTCCACACCAGTGAGTCTCAGTTCTCAGTAACTTAAACACATGCTTCTTACACTCTTCATTTCACAGATTTCCTAACAAGCATTCATTTAGATGCTCTTCAAATTGCCAAGTTAAGACTATGGGGAAAACAGCAGTCAGGGGGAAAAAAAGGGCCAAATTACTTCAAAATGCAGAAATCTTTCTGGATCATCTGTTTTCTGTTCAAAGGAAAGAGTCATCACTTCTTTCTGTAGGAGGGACGCTTAGGTGCTATGAGTAGGATCATAAAGAAAGGAGAATGGAGGAGCCAAAGTGTCAGACGTACTTGGCAAGGAAGTCAAGAGCTACCAACAACTAACTGCACTGCCAACTGTCAGTCCATTTCAGCAGAGTTTTCAACGAGTGTAAATCATTACCTGACTGTTATTACTATTTGAGCTAGTGAAGTAACTAGGTGTCACCTGTCTTGTAACTTTTAACCACCACTTAGATCCTCCTAGAAGCCTTTTGCATTAAGACATCTTAGACCAAAATATGTACCAGCAAGAATATTTCCACAATTGCCAAACACAAGAGTGTGATTGAACCTTATAGGCCTTCTGAATTACTAAAGTGTAACCTAAACCAAGATTAAAACTCGTTCGCTTAATTTTCTCATGAAATGCTAAAAAATTAATATGCAAATTAATAGTAAGAACTAAGTATGTATTCATGGAAGCACAAAAATATTATGATTCCAAGAACAATGAAATGTTTCTGGTCTGTAAAAAGTAGCTTTACTTTATACAAAAGATCACCACCACATTTCTACACCTATCAACAAGACAATTTTCCACAAAAGCTAGACAACAGAAGGAAGGGAGGGAAAGCAGGAAGGAGGGAGGAAATACCAAATGTAATAGAAGGAAGAAGACATAAAGGATAGCATGAAGGCAGAAATGGAAGGACAGCTATAAAATTCCATGAGAAAAGCATCAACAAGAGGCTATTTTCCACATTCAACTTTCCTGAAGACATAAGTTGCCTACACCCTTTAATATCAGAACCTGGTAGTCAGGTTGTAGTCAAACTGTTTAGAACCAGCCACATTTCTTATATTTCATCTGGTTGCTCTTGAATCTTGAAATCCTACTAATGCTAATTTAGGATATGCTATGCTAGTTTAGATCACCATTATATAGCCCATAATAATGAAATTTCTGTTCAAATAGCGCTAGTTGAATGGCCTAGGCCTTAAATTTAGGTTTGGTTTTAGGATCAAATAGCTTCATAAATCTTTAAATCAGCTTTTCTTTAAAATTGCACTGCAACTCTACAGAGCTATGGTAATTAATGCCGCTGGATAAACAGTCATTTTAAGTAGTGGTCACTTTACTTTTATAGAGTACATTATTATGATTGGCCTAAATTTGGCTTACAATGAAGAAAACAATGTCTTAAAATTTGAAAAGTTTAAAACAAACTTACAAAACTGATAAATTTGCTTAAGCAATTAAAAAGATCTTTCCCTTAGTCTATTCTCATGACAAAACATGAGCTCCCTCTAAATTACCGATATTCAAATTTAGAGATAACAACCATGAATGTTATACTCAGTTGTCACCCACTGTTTCAAATCTGAAGTACTCAAGATGCCTTTGTCTTAGCTGTCTTTCACAGTACACAAAATCTCATCCCGATGTCCAAGAAACAACTAAAGAGTTTTTTTAATGGGGAAGAAAACATTAAAAGTACACTTATATATCTAAAGAACTGGAGCTATGAAAGTTACCCAAGTAATTTCAGGAAGCCCCATTCTAAAATCATCTGGAAATATGAGTATATAACATGAAGGGGGGAAAAAAACTAATGGAAATACTGGAGAAGAGAGGGACAAGTCATGTAAAGATAAAAATAATTCCATGCCCATGGTGGGGTCACCATGACTGGCTGATTAACCTAAAATGTCATGAGAGAAAAATGTGTTTTAAAAGTTTCATTGCCAAATCACAAAAAGTGCAGAAACAAAACTGAGATAACTTCTCCAAACATTAAGTTCCATTTTTAAAAAATCAGGAAGAAAAAAGAAAAAAGATGACATTACATCTTTTCCAACACATGAAATCTTATGCTGTGAAAGTGCTTGGGCCACCAAATTCACCCAGATTATTCTCAACAGATTTATCTTCCCCACCCCCTTCCACCCAAATTTAGCTCCATTTTCCTGCAGAAAAAGGTACAAATTCCTATAGTGGTAAGAACAAGAAATGAAAACAGTGAGTACAACTGATGGAGATCCATTGATTTTTATTACAAATGTACTTGATCACTTGGCTTCAAAAAGTTTAAAATCAATACCCTAACATCTATATGCCAGTACAAAGCAAACTGTTTTACAAATTAAATACCTAAAATTTTGACAAAAATATTAAAATTTGATGAAAAACAATTATAAAAATTCTTAGTCTCTCTTCAAAAAAAGGAGGCAGTCTTCCCAGACCTATCATACAATGTTAATAGTATTCAGCATTAGGTAGCTAAATTATACTTATGTCAGCATTAAAAAAAACTCTTAAACTAATAGATTTTATTTGTATATGTTTCTGTTAAGTTTGTGAATGCCATTTGATTGCAATATAATCAACTCTCTTTAACTGAATTCTAATTTACTTACTTAATAATTTGCATAGCTTGAAAGGGATAAAGGTTATTCTACGACTAATTAAAATAGACTATCATAGTGCTATTTCTCAAGGCAATAAGTATTTGCTCCCAAATGAAATTATCTGTCTCCTTTCAGCAGGGGTTAAAATCACTAGCAGCTTTCTCCATTACCTGAAAAAAAAAAAAAAAAAGTCAAACTGGAATAGTTACCCATCATTAGATGTAAAGGCCCAAAACCAAAAATTGGTACTTTCCATTTTGAGTCAAATTTTAACCCCTGCATGGGACTAGAAAGTGAGACTTTCAAGGTTTTTTAAATTTCCCATTGGTTTTGGTTTTTACTTTCCATGGCTTTTGAGAAGCTGGAAAAGTTTGTCTTTCCTGACTACTTTATCTATTTTTCTCATTTGGCAAATTGTTCATCTTCCTCTAAATGTGTGTCTAGTAGAGGAAAAGCCAACATGGCTTTCTTAGGAACTTCCTTTGTTGTCAAAGGCATGTATGATGATTTCTACAGTTCTGGTTAGTTAACTTTAGCTCCCTCTGTGGCTGGATGACTGCTGCTTCTAACATCTGCATGATAAATAGGAGGCACAAATGAAAGGTAGCTTTAAAATAAGATTTGGTAGTTTAGGGGGGAAAAAACCACAAATACCACCACTACCACCACCACCACCACCACACACACTCTCTCTCTTTCCCTCCCTCTCTCTCTCCCACTTCAAATCTGGTGGCTGATTTCTAGATCAAATTACTTGACAATGTCTCTCATTTTAAAGAACATCAATATCTCAATGCATTTCAAGTTTTCTTTTTTTACTTAGGCAAATAACATAGTTTAACCAAGCTCTTGGACCTTAATTGTAAGACAAAGCAGATCAATAAAAATAAGGCATACTTGTCATGAATTAAGTTCTGTTTGCTTGTTTTTGGCACATTTGATCATACTGTCTTCTATGAATAACACATATGGTCAAATATACCCCCCCCCCTTTTCAGCACAAACTGGGGCTACTCACTAGTAAAATAAAAAAAAAAACGAGAAGAGACTCTAACATAATACACTGAAATATAGAACCTTGGTAAAGTACTGAGCACCTGGGAGGAGAAATGTAGGGGAAGAATGAAACAGAAGGGGAAGGGGAGGTTAGGAGGTCAATGGGGAGAGAAAGTGAGATGCTTTAAACAAAAAGAGCATCTTTACAGTCACTCAGTCTTCTCTATGACCACTTTTTAAGTCTTAAAAGATCTGCATGTGGATTTCTTTTTAAACCCACTGACCATAAATCAGACAATGGATTCAAAGTCCTAGTAAGATTGTGTTTAACTGTTATAGTGTAAAGACAACAGCACAATACATGTGCTTCTTGATCCAGTAGGATTCCAAGCAGAATCTGAAGTCTATAAGTAAGAAAGGTTTCACTTTAGGCAGCTGACCCTAAAGAAAACCTTATGGAAAGAACTTGCATCTCAAAGAAAGGACACTTTGCCTAAGTTTGCTGTGTTTTTGTTGACTTGCACTACTGACTGCTGGCTACTACAAAACACTGATCTAGGAGTACTCCAACAACTCGTAGCACAAGGCTTAACTTTAAGAAGCTATAGTAAACAAGAGACAAAATCAAAGCAATTCTCTTTCCTAAGTAGAAACAGCACAGAGAATGCAATCTTTTCCATATCACAGTTAAAGTACAGTGAACAAAACAGCTCAACAAACCTTAAGACAAAAAGTGCAGGTTATTAATGTTTACATGCAGTTGATAAGCATTCCAAATGTCACATTATGCACTGTAAAAGCTCAACTTTACTATATGAAAATAATAAAAAAATGCACCTTGGGGGAAGGGGAAAGCAATTTAATAATTTCCAGTGATTTTGTAAGTAAAGAAACTCCTACCTATTGTACGGTCACCTCATATTTAACATTGCATGAATATGAAAAGCAAACAATGGGAAAATGCACAGTACAATGAAAATAGCTTGTTATTCAACACATACAGTAGATCTCAAAAACAAAGACAACACTCAACCAGAAAGCTTAAAAATATCAAATCAAAACCTAAAGAGCCAGCAGGGAAAAAAAAAATCCTTCAAAAAAGACAACTGTTCTGCCTTCCTAGGCGGATGCTTTCCAACGGGAAAGGTACGGATACCTTCCCAGTCCTACAGGTGGTTTCTTCTACATACAGCAGGTAGATCTAGTTGGCTGAATTTGCCAAGAGACAATTGCATGTCCAGAACTCTCTTTGTCAAGACAAGATCAAGATCCTCTTTTTTTCTTTTTTCTTTTTTTACCAAAATACTTTCTACAGAATTCCAAACCAAAATGTACTGTATTTAAGGCATCTTTTTTATAACATTTTTCTTTTCACTCAAAGATGATAGTCATGCAGCAGTTTAATGATAAAAAATATATTAATATTTTACTATACAGCAGCAAGAAGTTAGTTGTCAATTAAAAGCACATAAACATCTTTAACTGAAAATCTGTAAAAGACTACCGTTACAAACAATTTCAGTGGAGGACACCAGCTTGGTAAAGTGCTCTCCTAAGCTTGCATTTCTATATCCTACACTTTGAATATGTGTGATAATAGAACATACTTTTGACAGAAGGCTTGTACACTTGGGGAACATAAATACACTTACATATAATGTAGCCAGTAATAACTAGCACCACAGCTACATGGAAATCCTTTACATACACCAACTTGGCTTTCACTCTTAAATGAAACTCAGAATCCATGGCTCAGTAGGATAACTATAATGGTGTTGCTTTGCTTTTAAACAGGTCTACATAAGTTAACAGCACTGGCAAAAATCAAAGGATAGCTTCAGACCTCTTACAAGTTTAGGGGACAGTGCTAGTGACCACAAATAGACTCACTACCTGATACCCAAGTACAGGTTCACTGGAAATTGCTGCACGTTAGCTAGGTTTTTAAAATCTTTCTACACATAATAAAAAATATATATTATGAACAATACAAGTACATCTCATATACACAATAATAACAAAACAGCTACTCAATCAAAGCAAACAGATGCAGAAAAATATTATGGGAATTTCCTTTTTCTTTCTTTTTTCTTTTACTATTTGAATAACTTTGGTTCCAACCATAAAAATCACAACTTAGCAAATTTCATTTAAATGCCTTTTTTAATAATTTCTTCATGTTCACAGAAGTTTCACTGACCATTTTTATATGCTTAAGGTCCAGATGCAATGCATATTGTATAAAAGAGAGCACTTATTGTTTACCTTGCATGAATTAAACCTACGTACCTTGAACTCTACAAACTTCTGCATAACATTTAGACAAAGCTCAGACACACAGCATGCCTAGCCCTCATATATATACACATCTCTAATCACAGGTATATAGGATGTCAAATATACTATAATAACCTCCATGTAAGGTTTGAAATTTGGTAACAAAATGAGAAAAACTAAAAATATTATTTTACGTGTTCTAAAATATCTCTTTTTTGTGCTAAAGTCAAATGTTAGCTCAACATGAAAAGGACTTTTTATATAATTCAGCAATATTATAATCTTGACCATTTTGCAAACACTTTTAATAATAATAGCTTAAACGTGTACAAAAGTTCTTGGTTAATTAGGGAAATAAACACTCAGTTCTTTATATTTTTTAATCAAGTAGGAAACACAGTTCATATAATGTTATTACTTTTTGTATATTTTTTTTGTTTTTTGTTTTTAGCAGCTGCTTACTGTTTTACATGGTGGATAAAGTGGACAACATCCAGCGATGGGTGGCAAGTCAAGAAGAGAAACTGTCAGTTGGTGGAGGTTCTGTGGGTGGTGCTCCCTTGGAGTTTAAGTTTTTTTTTTTTTACTTTTTAACTTTTTATTTTCTCTTTACAGTATATTTTCTCTCTGTGTGTGGCTGTGTGTGTGTGTGTATACACGTACGTGTATGCGTGCGTGCGTGCGTGTGTGTGTGTGTGTGTGTGTGTGTGTGCGCACGTGTGTGTTTCATTCAGTTTGATCAATCTTCTTCTCCTTCTTCCTCACCCTGCAGTAGCAGGGTGGCAGCGGTGGTCTCCTCTTGCTGCTGCTGCTGCTGCTGGTGGAGCTGCTCACAAGCGGCCCGCTTCTCCCTCTGCTTCTCTTGTATCTTCTTCATCTCCTCCGAGTACTTGCAGAAGGTGTGTCCGAACTTGGCCCACACCTTGTAGGGCACGGTGATGGAGTTGCGGTAGGTGGGCTTCACCTCACTGACTCGCATAAACACCCCGTACTTGTTGGAGCCCACATCGAAGAAGAAGCGCTTGTTGTCCACAGTCAAGGAGGTGCCCTCGGGCAGCTCGGCCGGCTCCTCCTCCACTCCATAGTCGTCGATGAGCTTGGCCAGAGCGTCACGGAACTCGATGAGCCCCTGTGCGGGCAGCGCAATGGTCTGGCCCTGCGTGGAGCCCAGGCCGGGCCCCCGGTTGACTGTCTGGCGGATGCGCAGGAAGCGGCCGCGCTGGTTCTCCTTGAGATCCATGTAGTACTTGCGGTTTTCGCGCACCAGGAACTCGCTCTTGAGCGCCCGGCGTGGCTCGTCCTGTGCCTGGGCCAGGTCGGGCGGCTGGCTGGGGCCCAGCTGCGCGTAGTGCTCGATGAAGTCGCCCAGGTAGTCGCGGAACTCCACGGCCACAGACATGGAGAGGGTGAGGCGGCTCTTGTTGCCGCCAGCGCCCACCTCAGCGATCTTCAGGAAACGGCCCTTAGCGTTCTGCTTCACGTCCAGGTAGAAACGCTTGTTCTGGATGTCCACCCGCTTGGAGGCCAGCTCCTGCGTCTCGTGCTGCAGCCCCCCCGGGGCCCCGCCGCCGCCGCCACTGCCGCCGCCGCCCCCGCCGCCACCACCGCCCCCGCCGGAGCCTGAGCCCGAGCCCGGGTGCCCTAGGGAGCCGCCCGAGCCCAGCGCCGCACCACCCTGCTCGCTGCCGCTGTCTCGGTCCGCCATGATGCTGCGCTCCGCCGCCGCGCCGCCGCCTGCCGCTCCGCCCGCCGCCTCAGTCGCCTCAGCCGCCGCTGCTTTCCCTCCCCGGCTCCGCCTGCTGCCGCCGCAACCCCCACAGCCAGTCAGCCACTCTCGCGAGATCTGCGGGAGAGACGAGACAGACGAGACCCGGTAACAGGGCACTGACTCCCCAGTACAGTAGCAGGACGCCCTACTGTACGCGCCCACCCGCCCGCCGGCACGTGACTGCGCCCCTTCCCCAGGCCAGCCACCCTGCCCGCCTGCCCGCCAGGCGGCGCCCACCCACCAGCCCTCGCCCTACACCCCTCTCTGGAGGGGGGAGCGGGAGCGCCGCGTCGCAGTTCTGCTGCCACCGCAGCCTCTGCCACCGCCGCCGCCGCCGCCGTAGCTACCACTGTTGGCCAGACCCTAAGCAGCCTCAACTGGGGAGTCGGGACACCGGGGGGATATGCCATATTAAGCAGAGATCAGGCCTGACTCTGCTTCCCAGTGGCCCCAAAGAGACGATGTGGGGGAGGGGCCTGCGTAGCACAGCAGAGGAGGATGCAGAGGGTACACCTCCCTTTCCCCTGTGGGCCTGACCCAGACCCAAACCCAGACAGGGTCGCCCGCCACCCGGCAGAGCTGTCTCCTACCGCAGAGCCGTGGCCGAAGAGGCAGGCGAGGAAAAGAGAGGTGCTGCGGTGGTAAACCCTTAGCTGCAGAGGGGGCTGCTGGGGACGAGGACCGGGCGCCGGCAGCAGTGGCGCGGAGCAGCAGACACCTAGCCCGTCCCTCCCCTCTCCCTCCCCTCGCTCCCGCCGCTCCCCCTCCCCGCGCACAGCAGCGGCTCTGGCCTCAGATGATCCCGCTCCCCCTTCCCCCCAACCGCAGCCCCGCACAGTCGGGCGGGCGCACTCACCAGCGGGGGGAGCTGGGCTGAGGACAGTAGCCGCACCAGGGCCCGGGTGCCCGCAGTGCCTGTTCCCATAGGGTATGCCCTTACTCCAAAATAATAATAGGAAAGAAACCCACACTCACCCCAAAACCTGCAACGAGACCCCTTTGGGACCACGACTGCATGGCAGCCTCCCCCCTTCCTCCTTCTGAGATTTGGGAAGGGGGGCACTCTGCTTAGGGCTCAGCCTAGCCTGGGTTGTCAGCCAGCTCTGCAGATGAACCAGGCCCTGCCGAGCATTCAGACCCCAGCCCACTCTTCTTTAGAAGGACCCAGAATGGAGGAGAAAACCCAATCAGGCTTTCGGAAATTCATGAACTAAAAATGCCAGGAATTTCCTGGGAAACGCAGTTCCTTACGGGATTCATTAAAGCAGGTTCACTTACCCCTTTACTCTTCCTCCCCCAAACTCCAAGAATCAAAGACAGCCCCCACCACCAGCAAAATATTAAAAGATTTTGAGCGAGCAGTTTACTGACCATTAATTAAGCTAATCAGCCTTTGGATGCAGCCTTTGGATGGCGATAGCTAAAGGGAATCTTCTGTGGACACAGAAAGGGGCCCAAGAATAAAGATGGGGCTCAGAAATAAAAATTGTCTTCTTAAACTATAATCTAGGGTTATTTTCCAACACCCAGACAGATAGTGCATGCTCCTACTCCCTTCACTGCAGTGTGCAGCCCTGACAGCTGTGGCAAAGCTAAGGCCTATTTCCTGAGGACTCTTGTCAATGACCCCAAACTCCACATTACTAGAGAGGATACAGATCATGCAGCCTTATCCCTGGCTTTTTCAACACAGATTGCTGCCTCTACCCTAGTAATATACTACTCACTCTGTGGGTTCCACTCTTACTGAACTGCTCCTTTCCTTCCACAATAGGGAGATACCGTCCCCGCTTAGCTGCAGAAACCAATAACTAAATGGCTGTTCAAAAGGGAAAGAATTAGAGTAGGAACAGTCTAGGGTCTGATGTCTTTTCAGTCCTGAGCCCACAAAGCCCTCTAATATGGCCTTTATTTGGGGGGCAAACCTATCTGCTGGGTGTTTATGTCTCCTCCCATCCTGTCCCAGCAAGAGCCCCACTTTAGTTAGCTTTACCCACGTTTCACTGCTTCCCCACTGATGAGGAAGAACAGGGCAAAGAACGCTGGCCACTGAGGAACAAATGAGGGAACCCTGTGAACCAGCCTGAGAAATATGCACCTGCATACAGTGATATCTCAAAGAACTCCCCCAAGAGGAAGCTCTCTTTGAAACAGAAACCTCTACTATGGGCCTCACAAGATTTTCTCCTTAATTTAGAAGCAATCACTTACACATGGGGCCTTTTCAGTGCTGATTTTCTGCACTCTCCCCTCCATCCCCAAGTCTGTTGGGTTAAGGGAAGCAGGAACTTTTAGAGAATTTCCTACCACAAAAACAAATTCCGAAGACACAGGCTCCCTAGTGCTCCTTGTAACCGTCAGGACCCTGGATAGACCCCGGAAACTCCAGTAACCGAAATGCTGAGTGATGGGTATCTGCATAGAACTGAACTGAGCCGTCTCAAGCTTCCACAGGTAAACTGAGGGAAAGGTCCAGTTATGTCCGCATCTAGAGGGGCACCTGCCCTTCTTCAAGAGTTTACTACAAAGAACCAAACCCTGCCCCCTAATGAGAACTCAAGACAGCAAGGTCAATGAGATTTTGATGAGGCCGCCTGCAGCCAGTCCCGACATTCTTTCAGGCTTGGAGTTCGCCTTCCCGGGGACCAACTTTACAATTTAAATTTCTTGCTGTCCCAAACATTTATTTCCAGGGGGTTCTGAAGCAGTTTGAATTTGGGAGTGCCCTGATTTTCTTGTGAAAGGGGGGAGCTATCACCAGGAAATGACTTCTTCCTCAGAGAAGAGGCAACTGATGAAGTTTCTAGGTAGAATACAAATTAAATATTATTTGAACACTTAAAGTGGGAATTTTGAGTGAAAACCAGCAAATGACTGAGACTTCTGAGTAATTAATTATATGCTGACTTTATACTAGTCATTGTATATGTAATTTCTCCCTGTACAAGTCAGCAGCGCTTCTTTATATCTAAAAAGTAAACAAGGCTGAAGTTTCCCCCATAAACAATTCAACGATAGCTACTTTACTACTTCACCAAGAGCGTCGATTTCAGGATGAGCCTGTAAATGTGGCGTTTTTCTCAGACTAAAAGGTAAAAGGCGGCTTTCCTTAGGCTTCAGGTATGACATTCGTCTTAAAAGGCAGCCAGGAAGGGATGAATATCAACTTACAGGATAGTCTTTAAAATGTTTAGAACCTTAAATAGAATTTAAAAATTATATCTGCATCCTGACTTTGAAGACCTTTAAGAAAACTGTGGATTTAAAGAGGTTTTTAGCCATTTGTTAACTATCCAAATATACTAACTTGATAAATGAAAAATCTGTCCTGGAGTTTATTTAGCTCTTTGAATCCATTATTTCAATACACATAGCTGTAAGACTACCTTACAATTTCATTACAATGTAGGAAAAACTAAAAGAAACGAAATATGTGCAGCAAAATATACATATTAATGAAAAATCATCAAAAAGAAATATTCTTCTTTTACTCAAAATTTACTTACATTTACCTAATAAAGACTTCTAGATCCCTTGAGCCCCTTTATTAACAGTATATAATACGTTAAAGAGAATCAAGATTTTAAAATTTTAATCACTACATATTTAACAAACTTACCCCAAAAAATTTTTTGCACAAGGATAGAGATTCTGAGATAGACCAAGAAGGAAAAAAAAACCCTCAATTTTCTTCTGCCTTAACTATTGGTGATACTGAAATAACGTAATTCATCTTTTATTTTTACAGAAAAAAACAACACATAGTTATAAAATAAACTCTGGGTAGTAAACTCTTGATTGTAGAGTTCCCAACAGAACAAACACGTTAATACTTTACAGAGCCCAAATCCCTCCTTCCCCCAAAAGAGAACACTGGAACTTTATTCAAGTGCTACTTGGGTTAAACCAGATAATTATCTTCAATACTTAAATCATTAAAAACAACCAGAATGTCAGTCTGCAAATATCCAAAGCAGAAGAATCCCCCATTTCTTATGGCGCCTACTAAGAGAATTAAGGGACACTCACGTCTAACCCTGGACATTAACATCATAAGCATCTCACAGATCCAGCGTTTCACGAATCCTTTTAAAGAAGCTTTCAGTAGCGTACCTAGTCTCGAAAATTAGCTTTCTTTGACACCGTATGAGTGTTTAGAATTAAAGATATGAACTAAATATTCAAATTCAGAAAAGAACTATTTAGCCATCTACAATCTTCGCATTTCCAAAAGGTTCTCATTTTAAACATCTGCACAAGAGTTAAATTTAGCACACATTCTAAATTTCATTAAAAAATTCACAGAACCCGACATTTTATGGACCCCCAAAGGTTCAAACAAAACCGATTCAAATGTCAAAAGCTCTCTCTTCGTCTGATACTTAAATGATTTTACTATACTGTACTCAAGGAACTGAAACCAGCAACTTTCCCCATACTCTACTCAACACTCCAATTCTCAACGCCGCAATTCCCTTAAGTCTTTTGGGCGGGGACAAAGGGGGGGTCTTAAGAGCAAATCGAAATTTTCCTTTCCCCTCTGGCAGTCTCCCAAAAGATGCCAAACCAAATCCAGCCTATTGTAAATCTCCCTTCCAAGGACATGGGACCGCGTAACGTAGACACCGCGGATAAAGACGCTTTATACAGCCTGTAGCTGGACAGGGACGTAAGGGGCCCAGATCAGAAGGAAACAGAGCCCCCAAGAGTCCCCTCAGAGACAACGAAAAGAAGGTAGCGTTTCTTTCGGGGGAGGGGGACGACGGGCGACAGCTTTATTACACCTTGATGGTCTCTTGGGGCCTCTGTCTACCAAAGTTGAGGCTTATGGTAGATATATTCGTAGGATCCCTTCTCCTGTACCACAAGCCACCTCTGGACCTACCGTCGGTCTCAGAGAAGACCGTCTAGCTTCACAACCCTTCCTTTTGCCTGCCCCCTCCCCCCAAAAAACGCGGAGC